CGGCCCGGCGCGGCTTACGGCCCGGCGCGGCTTACGGCCCGGCGCGGCTTACGGCCCGGCGTGGCTTACGGCCCGGCGTGGCTTATGGCCCGGCGTGGCTTATAGTGAGGCGTCTCTATAGTCCTGAAAATACCGTAGATATTTTCCAGTGCTAAATTAAATGTTTTTCACACTTCTCAGGTCCATATTTGCATAAAAAATTAGAAATCATGTTGCATTTTCCTTCCATCTTACAATAAATTACAGCGCCATCTGCCAGAGGTAGCACATTTCCCCTCATTGTTTTAGATAAAACATTTTTTTTTCTTAAATCGATGCTAGGAACTGAAAGATCGATATCGTATCGGACAGCCGAAAATTATGATGTTTCATCAAATCAAATTTTTCCCATACCCCTATCCCCAAGATAAAGTTTGTTGTTTTATTCTAATCTAAATTAGCTTATTAGCACCTTATTGTATTTATTACAGAATACAAGGATTTACTGCTTCTCTGTCTCTCATAGATTTCCTTACTTCTTGTGTTTTTATGTCTCTTCTAGGACCTTAAGCCAAGTAATGTGGCAGTGAATGAAGACTGTGAGCTAAGGGTAAGATCAGCTTTTTCTTTTGTGTTAAAGCTTCTAGTCCAGAGGTCAAGGATTAGCGCACTGCGGTCCAGATTCACCTGCTGGCTAATCTGGACCCAACCTGATTCAAAACATTCATAAATTACTGCATGTTGTCCGATGACAGTGTCTAACTTCACTTGCACCTCTTCTCCTGTTAATACGGTAAAGCCCTGGGGAGCGTCCGGCTCCAGGCTGCACGTGACCCAAATGAGCCAATGAGCTGTCAGTCTGGGTTGCTGCTGCTAGCTCAGTGTTGCCAACTCAGCGACTTTGTCGCTATATTTAGCAACTTTTCAGAGCCCTCCAGCGACTCTTTTTCAAAAAAGCGACTAGCGACAAATCTAGCGACTTTTCTGGTGCCACCAGCGGCTTTTGGAGGCTCTTACATAAAAGCACGTATCGTTCCTACTCTTGTCCTCCAGCGGCAGGTGCTACAGTGGGGCGCCTCCCCCGTCTCAACCCCGTTCTCCCGCTTCCGCAGGAGTCCCTCTCAGCGCTGCAGTCAGAGCCAAAGCGTGTTTACTTTAACAGCGTCCAGACTACAAATGAAGCGCGCGGGTTGATCACGCGGTGCCGCCACGCCCTGGCTTACATTCAGGGCGGGAGCGAGCAGGATGTAAAATGTTATTTGGTCTAAAATAAATAACTGAATTTGAAATGTAAATAACTAATAAATAACGGCATTTGATTAGTCAGTTAATCAACTTGTCCATTGTGTTTTCCTCTATAATATAATAATTTGTAGGCTCCTTAGTGAACCACAAGGGAAACAAGAAAAAGTTAAAGAAAAAGTTGAAAAAATAAAATAAAATAAAAATTGTAACTTCGCTATAATGCCTCTTTATGGTTAATTTTGCCGGTCCCAACCAGGGTAAAGGAGGAGGGTTCATATTGTAAAAAAATAAACATAAATGGACAGAAAAATTAGTGTTTTTACTCACATTGTCTCTCTAACAACGTTATTTCTCCCACCGCGTCAATAACATTCACATCACATCATGCGGCAGATTATGCAAATTAGGCAATGACATCATTCAGCGACTCCTAGCACAGCCAATAGCTGCTTTCCTTACTGTGGAGTTGGCAACACTGTTTTAGACACAGCAGGCAAACCTGTGGCAAGCCGGGCGATGGGAAAGAAGGAGAAGACCATGAGAAAAAGAGAGCAGAGAAAGTGTGGACTGCTGGAAGAACTGCGGTGAACTGGTGAAAGAAAAGTGAAATGGCGTGCTCAAAGATGACCCTGCACATTTAGAGGATGTTTGGCTCAACCTGCTGCTGTGAAGCAGGATTCTCCACCATGAACAGAATCAACAATAAATCTGGATCCAGGCTCAAAATGAGCTCCTTGATATGTGCTTGAGAATGGCTTAGTCTCTGGTTAAACCCAGGTTTAAAGCCTTGCAGGGCAGCCTAAAGCCCACTGCCAACATTAAGACAGAAAATAGAAAGAAAATAACAAACGATCAGTTCAGGGCGTTTCTTAAAAAAAAGTGAGTCAGGAAATGATCTATATACCAACCTGAATTGTTGTTCTCTACTTCAAAAAACACTTTAGTTTTTAAAATAGATTTTTTTTTAATCATGTTTATTTACAAATTAAATGTATAAAATGGATGCATACACACCTCATTTTATTTCAGTGTTAAATTCTGTTTAAAGTAACAGATTATAATTAAAAATGTCTCCAGACCTTTACTGGTTGATGATTTTCTTTATTCGGACCCCAATGGTTTTTTATTAGTTACCACTGCTCTAGTCAATCCTCTGTTAACTCTAAATAATGGTTTTATATCCCGTCAGATCCTTGACTTTGGGTTGGCCAGGCAGACCGATGATGAAATGACAGGATACGTGGCGACTCGCTGGTATCGAGCACCAGAGATCATGCTGAACTGGATGCATTACAACCAGAATGGTGAGATGCTCTCAAACCGTGGATGTTTAGGAGCTAAACTCATTAAAGGCTTCATCATCCAACCCGTTTCTTTCTCTTCCAGTGGATATTTGGTCTGTGGGCTGCATTATGGGAGAGCTGCTGAAAGGAAAAGTCTTGTTTCCTGGGACCGACTGTATCCTTCATCATGGTTGCAAACGTTCTCCTCTGCTTTGCAGGAATTTCTCATCCCCTCTCAGGGCTGCATAGATTTCTCCCAGATTTGCATTACAATCCCACATCTGTCAGACATGGAGCTCTGCAGCTACGTAGAGTGAATAGGAGCAATGACAAAAGGCTGAATTATCTGGATTCTACTATTCAGAGGCGAAGAACTGGGCTAAATATAATTATATCATCTGATCTTTGAGCTTCTGATTGCTATAAAAGCTTTCTGCTGTAATTTGAGCTCCTTCCAATGTCGTACAGTCATGTTGGTCTGTATGAGATGATTCCCTTCCTGACCAAATTTTTCTGTTTTTAGATTTTTAAATTATCCAACAAAATTTATATCAGAAAAGGCTTCTTTGATGCTTGTCCACATTAAGTTTAAACATCCAGTTTGTCCAGATGCTTCTGCTGCTCCTGTGTTCGATGCCAGAGAGCAGCTTTGCTATATTAGCTGTGATCAGCGGGTAAAAAGTAGTTAGAATCTATGTTGAAGTGAGAAAGTCCTCCTGAAAACATGGTCTGTGCAGTCAGTTCATCCAGATTACCATCCTGCCTTCAAAGATTATGGCCGTTTCTCAATTCACGAGAACGCGAGTACGTACTCGTGTTCTCGTCAAGTCCGTTCTTGGCGAGAACGCAGGAAGATCGGACTTGACGAGAACGTGAGTATGTACTCGCGCTCGCGTTCTTGTCAAGTCCGTTCTTCCTGAGTGGTCTGTGCAGTCAGTTCATCCAGATTACCATCCTGCCTTCAAAGGTCTGACCCAAAACGCAGAAGACCAAACAGAGAGACCCGGGAAAAGTTTAACAGGTTTATCAAGAATATGGTGATGAATCCAGTGCTGTTCAGAACACTGTCAAACCGGAACTGGAAGGTGAGGGGAAGACACTGCGGTTAGTTCAGGCTCAGTGGGAAATTTGATTCTTAGGCTTAAATCGGAGGAATAGTTTGTAGACTCACTTCTCCAGAAAAAGGTGTCCTTTATGGAATCCAGTCTGTGTGGAATGTTCCAGTGATTGTCTTGTTTGGTGTTGGGCAGACGGGGATTACTCAGACTACGGTTGTTCCTAGGTGAACGGAACAGCTGACTGTCACTCAGATTTCCTGCGGTACTTAAACAGGCTGTGGTGCAGATGAAACCTTTGCTCGATGTGAAGCTCAAACGACCTCTTGGGGAAAGTGGGTCTAAACTTCCTGTTTGGAACCCCTGCTCAGTTAGAAGCTCAGTTGATCCTTCCAGGGAGAGAAGGTCCAAACAAATCCAGTTTGCAGGATGACTTCCTGCCGAGAGGCAAAGACAAAAAACAAAGTTAAGACTCAGGTTGACAAAAACTCAGTTTGACTCAGAAAAACTCAGCTTGGCTAGAGAACCCAAAACTGGCAAACAAAAACTCAGGTTAGACTCTGCTAAACTAAACATGGCAAGAGTACCCTGTTCAGGCAAACACTCTGGCGTCGAGGTAGTGGCAGTCAGCAGCTTAAGAACGCTCCAAAGGTAATGAGGCAACGAGCTGCAGGTGTGGATTCCTGAACGTTTACACCAAAACCCTGTTTTTATCCCAGAAAGCGATTACTTTTAAAACCTGCGGCCAAAGCGGAGATTTCTGATAAGGCCGGTTATGTGCTGCCCTGTCAACAGGGATAAATGGCGTTTTAGCTTCTTAAACGTCGCATTATGCGCCAAAAACTCCTAGGAACACCTGATTCTGAATATATACATGAAAACACAGCCCAAGCTGCATCAGTCCAAACATGACTCTAAGTTCTTTTTTTTATTCTTGAAAATAATCGGTCTTTTTTGAACAACAGTAATAAAGGCATGCTTGCTTTGTCATGTTTACATTTTGACATGCTGCTATATCTGTATTAATTGTGCTTTGGTGCTCGCTATGTCAATAAAATAAACTTGGTGGTTGAATAGTGGAGAATCTAATCTTTCATATGATGTCTAACATCTATAGTGGTTAACATTTTACTAGTGTAATTTTCACACATTCTGAGTTATTAGTTGTAAACACTTTAAAACGGTGGGTTTCTAGAGGTTAAATCAACTCTGATTAATATATAAACCTGACAGCTTAAAACGGAATATTTATTTTTATTTATTGAGGTTAATATTTGTTGATACACTGCAAAAAATAGAAATCTCAATAAGTTATTTTTTTCTTAAAATAAGTGCATTTTTCCTTGAATTGAGGCGATAAGTGAGACACTTTGCCAATGGAACAAGACAATTTCCTTTTAAAATAAGAAAAAACAATGTTATTGTCTTATTTCAAGTGCATATTATCTAACTATCTTATTTTAAGAGTAAAAATACTCGCTCCATTGGCAGATCATCTTATTTACTTGCTCAAATTAAGGGTAAATATACTTAATTTAAGAATTTTTTACGTATTTCTGGATTATTTTTGCAGTGTAAAATATGCTTGATGGTTCTGAGACCAGAAGCAGAGGAAATCCGTATCTCTGCAGATCAGCTGGATTGTCTTTAACTCCTCTTTTCTGTCAGATATCGACCAGCTGAAGAGAATCATGGAGGTGGTCGGCACCCCGACTCCAGACCTGCTGAAAAAGATCTGCTCTGAGCATGTGAGTAAGAAGGGAAAACACAACCTCTGGTGTTATTTCCATTGATCTGATCGATCGGTCGTTGCGTTCACAGCGTAGTTGATTGAGTTGTGGGTTTGTGGGAGTGGGGGGAGTCCATGCATCACTGGCTGTCTCTATTTGCAGGCCCAGAAGTACATCCAGTCTCTTCCCTTCATGCCTCAACAAGATATGGAAAAGATCTTCAGAGGAGCTAACCCGCTTGGTGATGCACCGCAAATTTAATTACGCACCATTTTCAGAAATGTGAAAAAGGATGAGTGTCTGATTTCTCTGACACCAGCTGCTCTGTCCCTCCTGGAGGGTTAGAGCGCCGTGTCTAAACCCTCCTCCTCTCATTTCTGTGTCTCTGTTGCTCTGTTAGCCATCGATCTGCTGAAGCGCATGCTGGTTCTAGACTGTGATGAGAGGATCTCGGCCAGCGAGGCTCTGTCCCACCCTTACTTCTCCCAGTACCACGATCCAGACGACGAGCCAGAGGCCCCGCCTTACGACCAAACGCTGGAGAGCAAGGACCGAACTCTAGAGGAGTGGAAAGGTGAACCCCAAGAATAATGGCTTTTTTTCACATTAAAAACCCCTAAAATACAGAGAAGGTTATTTTAATAGTGTAATAAAATATAACAAATTAAAATGGCGTAAAGTGCTGCAGCTAACATGGTCTCTTTTCACTTTCTGTCCGTGTTTTTCTGTAGAATTGGTGTTCGAAGAGGTGAACAGCTTTAAAGCATCTGGCAGCAAGACGGAGAGCCTTCAGGTGGAGCAGTAGGCTCCTCCCTGCTCCTCTCTGCTCCTGGTTCCTCGCCAGGGAGGAACCACGTACGTACTATCTGGATGGGAAACGGACTAATGAAAAAAAAAAGCAAAAGGAAATGAATTGTATTCTAGGAGTTAATCTAACGCACAAACATGGAGCCTGTTTGGGATCAAAAGGACACATCCGGAGCAGAAAGTTGCTTCCTGTTACATTTCTGCTTTCAGTCGGAGAAATGAGGAACTTTTCGGTGTCAAACGGACTCCTGAAGGGGCTGAAGGAAGAACTGGATGTTTACAGACAGAAGATGAAGAGAGGACAAAAATGTGCACACTAGGATTTCCAAAGCAACATCAGGGACACATAGCATCAACCATCAGTTCCATCCACTTTTCTTATACTGCCTTTATGTTTAACCCTCTGGGGTCCCCTCACCGTCATCGTTTTCCACATTCCAGTCATGCAAAATCTTGGATTAAGAGTCAAAAACATTTTAAAAGAATTTTAGAAAATAAGGAATTAATTAAATTAAATATGGAGTCAGATATACGCCAAAATAAGCCTGGTATAAAAATACTTTTATGAGGAGTTTTATCTAATACACACACGCACTCAATAAGTGCAGGCAGAGTAGTTTATGTATGTGGCTTTTAAATAAAACTGCTTGTCTCAGCATTTATCACATGTGTGCACACTTTGCACAAGTCTGGCTTCATACAATCTGCATCAAAACAACCACAGATATTGCAAAATAAAATCCAACAAGTGCAAAAAATCCAAGGGACCCAGGAGGGTTAAAGGCTGCCTGCATTATACTGAAGCATGATTTATCACCATTTAACAGTCGTGTCTTATATCTGGTACTGTATTATAACCTCCCACTGTCTGTATGGCACAGTTGCAAAGGAAGATTCACTTTCAACTTGTCCAAATGAGAGGTGGGCAAACAGCACATAAACTACTGCTCCTTCTCTATGGAAATGTAAACACCAACTTTGCTGTTATAAGAAAGCTCATGAGCGATTCTGCAGGTCTGTGTTTACACTGTAACCGTGCTTCTCATATGCACATTCTGCTGATGGCTGATTGTTGATTACCTGCTATCTCTGGCTACTCTCCCTAACGCTCCACCCTTCATTTAATCTCACTTTATCCCCCTTCTTGGCGTTTGCAATGATTAATATTAAATGTTGTTTACAGTTAGCATCAAATCTCAAATGGTGTCTATTCAGTATCTCGTAACAGTGTCATTTCATTTACAGAGTCACTCAATTATCAAAAAGAGAAAAGGTCTGGAGTTTCTTAAAACAGCCGGTTTGGTTGTTATGGCAACCATAAAAGCTCTGTTAGAATTACCCAGGTATATTTTAATTTCCCAGGAAATCAAAATAGGGTTAATGACATTTTCTGTTTTAGTGTCTCATCCTAACTTAATCCTGTATTTATGCCCATCAAGTCACTTAACTGAAGTGTAAAAGTCGCATGTACTTAAAGGTTGCGCAGATTATTACAGCATATCGTCGTCTATGTTTTTTTTCAACTGCAACACTTGAAGTTTTGGAAAGAGGTGGAAGATTACAGTATCTTAGGTTCCCTAACAGAAAAAAAACACTATTAAAAACAATAAATATTGATTTAAATAATGAAGTTCCTGCAAAAAACCAGTTGCTAGCACGTAGCAACTGAGCTACTGCTTGCTACCTGCTAGCTGGCTAACTAAGATTTATATAGTAGCTAGTTAGCTGACAAACTAGTTTTTCGTCATTCTTTTCTTTATGCCTATAAGGTAACCAAGTTAGTTTTATTTGGATAGTTTAGTAGGCTATCTGCTAATGTAGCTAGCCTGCACCCAACTGCTTTACAAACAAGCGGCTCATTACGTGCTAAGTTTTTTTTTTTTTAAACAATGTTACCCTGTGAGTGCTGGTGTAAATGCTGGTGCTGCTTTTGTTTCCACGACATCATAAATGTCCACGTTTTGCACCACAATGTTTCCAAATTATCATATTTATCTTTTCACCTTGACGAAATACTAGTTACCCTTAAAAACTCTGGGCTTTCATTTAAAAGAAGCTTTAATCTGTCATGATTTTATTAAGAGCTTGGACCCACATGCAGATAAACCAGTCAAGAGAGACCAGGGAAAAAGTTTAACAGGTTTATTGAGAAGTTTTGTGGAGGTTCCAGTGTTGCTCTGAACACTGCTCAACCAGAACTGAAAGGTGAGGGGAAGACACTGCGGTTAGTTCAGGTTCAGTGGGAGAATTGATTCTCGAACTTGAAGAGGAGAAAAGGTTGGCAGATTAACGTTTCCAGAGATTAGGTTGACTCTTAGACTCCAGTAGGTGAGGAAGGTGTTCGGGTGTTTGTCTCATACGGTGGAGGGCGGACTGGGTTACCCAGAATGCGATTGCTTGTAGATGAATGGAGAAAGACTGACTGCCACTCAGATTTCCTGCGGTACTTGAACGGACTGTTGTGTAGATGAATCCCTTGCTCAGTGTGAAGCTCAAACGTTTCCTCGGGGAAAAGTGGATCCAAACCTCCGGTTGAAGCCACCAGTACAATCGGTTACACATTGCTAATCGACCACAAGAAAAAAAAAAAGTTAT